GGGACAAGCTAGAAGCTAAGTCACAGAAGTGCACATTCATTGGATACGGCATTGATGAGTTCGGGTATCGCCTTTGGGATGAGAAGAACAGGAAGATCATCAGGAGCCGGGATGTGATATTCAATGAGGAGGTGATGTACAAGGACAGGGACAATGCCAAGGATAGCCAAAGCAGTGGGAGCAGCACTACGGATACAGGTGGATCCGAGTACATGGATTTGGAGGAACTTCCAGATGGGGGCGACGATGTCAGTTCTGACCGTAGAACGGAGGAGACTACAGGTGCAGAAGCTACTACCCAGGGCGTGGAGCTTAGGAGGTCATCCAGGACACCCAAACCAAATCCCAAATACCTCTCATCACTTGATTATCTACTCTTAACAGATAGCGGAGAGCCTGAGTGTTATGAAGAGGCAGTGCAAGTGAGTGAATCTCAGCAGTGGGAGCATGCGATGCAGGAGGAGATGGATTCTCTACTCACTAATGAGACATGGGAGTTAGCCCAGCTACCTGCACAGAAGAAAGCCTTGCACAATAAATGGGTCTATCGGGTCAAGCAGGAGAGTGATGGAAGCAAGAGATTCAAGGCCAGATTAGTAATGAAAGGGTTTCAACAGCGGGAAGGAGTTGACTACACGGAGATATTTTCCCCTGTTGTAAAACTCACAACCATCAGAATGGTGTTGAGTTTGGTAGCTGCAGAGGACCTCTTCCTTGAGCAGTTAGATGTGAAGACTACCTTTCTTCATGGTGACTTAGATGAAGAAATCTACATAAAGCAGCCTGTTGGCTTCATTGAAGAAGGAAAGGAAGAGATGGTGTGCAAGCTCAAAAAGAGCTTATATGGTTTGAAACAGGCTCCGAGACAGTGGTATAAGAAGTTTGATAACTTCATGCAGAACAATGGCTACTGAAGATGCAATTCGGATCATTGCTGTTATTTCAAAAGGTTCGAGTCAGGCTTCATTATTTTGTTATTATATGTTGATGACATGTTGGTAGCAGGACCATGTTTAGAAGAGATAAACAGTTTGAAGAGGCAGCTAGCAAAGGAATTTGCAATGAAGGATCTGGGTATAGCGAAGCAGATTCTAGAGATGCGAATTAGTTGGGATGAAGCTGAAGGAACATTGAGATTGAGCCAAGCTGAATACATTGAGAAGGTACTTCAGAGGTTCAACATGCAGAATGCTAAAGTTGTTAGCACACCCCTTGGAAGTCAGTTCAAGCTATCTGAGGAGCAATCGCCTAAGACAGATGCAGATAGAGAGCATATGAGCAGGGTGCCATATTCTTCGGCCATTGGGAGTCTCATGTACGCGATGGTTTGCACGAGGCCGGACATCTCCCATGCAGTGGGAGTTGTGAGCAGATTTGTAAGCAATCTAGGAAAGCAGTATTGGGAGGCCGTGAAGTGGATAATGCAGTACTTGAGGGGAACAACGAACAAGCCACTATGTTTCAGGAGGAAGGAGTTGGTGCTGCAGGGATACGTGGATGCGGACTTCGCCGGTGATCATGATACGAGGCGAAGCAACACGGGGTATGTTTATACCTTAGCGTCAACAGCAGTGAGCTGGGTCTCACGTCTGCAGAAGATCGTGACTTTGTCTACAACCGAGGCTGAGTATGTCGCGGTGACTGAAGCAAGCAAGGAGATGATCTGGTTGAACGGGTGCTTAGAAGAGTTGGATCTGAAGCAAGAGAGAGGAGTTCTTTATTGTGATAGCCAGAGCGCTATACATCTTGCCAAGAATCCAGTATATCATGCCAGAACGAAGCACATCGACGTCAAATACCATTTTATACGCTTGCTAGTTGAAGACAAAAAATTACACTTAATGAAGATTTTGGGGAGTCAAAATCCGGCAGACATGTTGACGAAGGCAGTCACCATTGAGAAACTGGAGTTGTGCGCAACTTCAGTTGGCCTTCACGAGTAGAAGACGAAGGCGGATCCACACTACGAGGATCGGCAAGATCGCCGGGATATTGTTGATTGAAGGAAGAATTTTTCGGGGGAAAAGATACATGCGAAGAAGAAGAGAGTTCGGGGAACTCATTGCAGGCACTTTGGTCTCCAAGTGGGAGATTGTTAGTCTAAGGTGTAGACCCAAAGTTCGAGACAAGAGCTGAAATCAAAAGGACAAGAAAACGAGCAGACAGATCCACGGTCGACCGGGTCGGTCGACCGCGAACGTGCACAGG